TTCTTTCTTTCTTTCTTTCTTTCTTTCTTTCTTTCTTTCTTTCTTTCCTTTCTTTCTTTCTTTCTTGTGGTAGAACATACATAACATAAAATGTATCATTTTAACTCTTCGTGAGCGTGTGCATGAAGTCCGTTCATGGTGTGGTGTGACCGCCACCATCATCTCCTGAAGCTTTTCATCATCCGGCGTGGAAACTCCATCCGCGTTAAACACGGGCCCCCCTCCCCCCCGCCATTCGACTTTACGCCTGAGGCTTGATGACTCTGGGTCCCTCACTGTGTTTGTCCTACTGAGACTGTACCAGGCGTCGTGCTGCCCTCGAGGTTCATCCGTGCGGTAGCAGGTGTTAGAACGGCCTTCCCTCCCACAGGCGAGTAGCGTTCCGTTGTACGGGTAGATCGCCTCTCGCTCAGTCACCCACCCATCAGTGGGCTCTTCAGGTGCTGCCGCCTCTTGTGAATCGTGCTGCTAGGGGACATGGGGATGCGAGAGTTTACTCTGTAAAAAGCCTCGTCTCAGGGCCTTCTCTGGTGTGAGGCACGGGCATTCTCGCGCAGGGAGGAGGGCTGGCCATCCACGGAGCCCACTGTGTGCCTGGCTCTGGGCTGGACAGCTGACATTCATCATTTCGTCCTCCCAGGGGCCCTGAGGGGTGACTGGGACTTGCCTGGGGTCATACCACTAGCAGAGTTGGGGGGGACCCGCCCCAGCCTGCCTGCTCCAAAGCCATCAGGCCCTGTCCCCTTGGTTAACCCTTCAGATGCCCGGGATAGGTGGTGTGAACGGTTCGCGGTGACTCTGGTAGTGGAAGAGGAAAGAGGTTTTCACGTATGAGAAGTTTTCATGGAAGAGAAGGCCGGAGCTCACCGGTGACCCGGGACCACCAATGGGGAGGCCAGTCTGTGGCATGTGGTTGGGGACTGTGGCCCAGAGCTCTCAACCAGGGCTGTCAAAAGCATCAGGTGCCCAGGCCCCACCCACTGAATCGGACCCTGGGGCTGGAGGCTGGAGTCCCAGGAGTAGTTGGGCGCCAGAGGAAACGGTGGACAGGGTGAGGGTGTTGGTCCCCAGGGGTCCCGGTGGTGCCCTCTGGCAGATGTGACTCGAGGCGTTTTCCTGGGGGGCAAAGGATCCTTTCTGCCCCTGGTATCCGTGCTGTGCCTCTGATCCTGTAGCCCTCTGCACCCTGTGATTATTGAGTGTTCCCCCAACACACACACACACACACACACACACACACACACACAGGCTGGTGCTGTCCACACCGCAGGTCATGGTACCTCCAGCTTGAAGCCTTGGGTCCGGTTGGTTAGATTCTAGTGCCCCAGTGCTGGCCATTATCTGCTCTCAGGCTTCTGTTCCCTTGAACCTGACCATTGACAACAGCATCACTGTAAATTCGGGACTTGCCTGTGTGCACGTTGGGAGCGGCCTCCACCCCCAGATCCCATGGCTGAGGACACAGCTCTCCAGGGAGCAGGGGAGAGCCCGCCATTTCAGGCCCTGTCTCTGCGGTTCCAGCTTGGTCTATCTCAGCAGGCTTGGGCGGATCTGGAAGCATCCAGAAGCTTCCGTGTCTTAGTCATGTATTCCAGAGAGCAGCGGAAACAGACTGGCAGGGCTTGGCGGGCATCAGGAAATAGTTGGCGCCAGAGGGAGGAACTGCAGAAGGTATTCTCAGTTCGGAGCATTTTTGCTCGGACTCTTTCTGGGCAACAGGCCATTTAGGAATGTTTGTTAAATGCCTAAAAAGCAGGAGTTGATTCCTGCGTGTTTCCACGGCCAACATGCGAGGCCACGGTACTCCGTTGACACTGACCCTCGTTTTCCTTTCTCGACAGTGACTGACCTGCAGGAGGAAGGCAGACATGCCATCAACTCGCCGATGTCCCCCGCCTCGGCAGATATCCACCCCGAAGACACCCTGCTAGGTACCGTGGGCTCTGCCAACCCCCTGTCATGACGCTGCTGAGCTCCCCCGGTTGGTGAGGCTGAGGAGGAGCCCCAGGGCCTGGTGACCAGACATCACACCGGGTGGCATCCGGGAGTCTGGGCTCTTAGCTCAAGGTCACGTTTAGAAAAGTCGGTAGGAAAGAAAACCCAGTCCTCCTCTGTAAGTTTCTGCCTGTCTGATTTCCAGCGTCAGTTGTATTAGTAGTTACGTGCGATGAGGCCAACGGATTGAGAGTTGAACAGCGCTGAAAAAGACAGCTTGTTATACGCCAGGGTTGGGCCAGAAGCAAGAGTGAGGGGAAGGTGTGGCCTTTTTTTTCTTGTGGGAAGGACTAGGTGGGGCAGCGTAGGCAGGTGTGGACTGGCTGGTTGGGATAATCTCGGGGGGCTCCGGGGGCTCTCCTGATTGGTGTGTCCTGGGCCCCGGGAGGGGCAGTGTCTCTAGGTCCCCAGGCCCCAAGGTGTCAAAGCATTCGAAAATATAGAAAGTAGGAAACATAATTAATACACCCCAATCTCTGCGCAAGCCAGAGCTGTCCCGAGGCCGTGGGCTTGCTGGGTAGGACCCACCAAGTGGCGAGGGCCCCGGTACCCACCTCCTTGAGGCCACATCACAGCCGGCACCGGTGAGGTCACAGTCTGGACACATTTTTCTTTTTCTTTTTTTTTTCCTTTTTAAAGATTTTATTTATTCATTTGACAGAGACGCAGCGAGAGAGGGAACACAAGCAGGGCAGGTGGGAGAGGGAGAAGCAGGCTTCCCGCTGAGCAGGGAGCCCGATGCGGGGCTCGATCCCAGGACCCTGGGACCCTGACCTGAGCCGAAGGCAGACGCTTAACGACTGAGCCACCCAGGCGCCCCTGGACACATTTTTCTTAAAGCGTGTTTTGGGATCTGATCAGTCTGAAAGGCAGTTGTGGAACATTCTGATTATCTCTAAACCCTGGTTCAAAGGGAAGTCCCAGTTGGTCCCTCCTTTGTGGTCTCCACGACAAGGCCAGGCCAGCAAGAGCGTGCGGAGAAATGCAAACAGGTTCAGCTTGGCGGACCTGAAGCCAAGTGCTGGACGAGGACCCTGAGATCCTGCTGGGGTCCACTGCGGCCCCTCTCCTCTTGGAAGAGCATGACTCTTCACTGTTCATGCTGCTGGTCATCTTCCGTCTGGCTGAAGAGCAGGCTCCTGGGTGACCCTCTCTAAGGGGAAATGGGGGACTCGCTCGTGGGTCTGGAAATTAGCTGGACACAGAACAGGATGCTCCACCTCGGGATGGATATCTGGCACTGGGTAATTCTTTACCGTGGGGGCTGTCCTGGGTCTTGTGGGGTTTGAGCATCCCTGACCTCTACCCATGAAGTGCCACCAGCTGGGACAACCAAAAATGTCTCCAGACATTGCTACATGCCCCCTGGGGTGGGGGAAGGACACAGTTGCTCCTGTTGAGAACCCTGATTTAGACTAACAGGGGGCTAGAAGGTTTATCCTAAACACATGACAGGCTCTTGTTTTGTCAGTAATGCCTTGAACTTGCCTTTCCCTGGGCCATAACCCTCCTCGTTTTGCCATCTTTATAAATAGCCGTTCTTGGGCAAGGGGAGTTGGTGTCCTTCAGTTTGTTCCATAAGGTTCTGCTTGTCCTGAAGCTCGTGTGACCTTGATAAGGACTGACCTGATCAGCACCTGGAACTGAGATCTGAAAGGTGAAGGGGATGTGGAGTGGAGGAAGAGGGTATCAGACAGGGAGCAGCATGTGCCAAGGTCCTGTGGCAGGCAGTGGTGACGCTTGCTGAGGAGCTAGGGAAGGCTGGAAGGGCTGGAGGGTGGAGAGTGCCAGGGACAGCTGAGGAAGTGAGGCTGCAGAGGGCCTTGGAGGCATGTGGAGGGTGCTGGCCTTGGTCCCAGGAGCACTGGGAGGCTGCTGAGGGCCTTATATCACAAGGGAGCCCCGTGTGTTCTCCTGTGTGTTACCTGGAACATCCCTCTCAAGCATCAGACCTATATGACTCCAAAAATAGTTTTCCATTTTGTGAGTTTTTAAAATTTGCTACTGTGAATTGTGAAGCCAGTCCTCTCAAAGCCATTCTGTTCCCACTGGCATGGACAGGGGCCCTAGCTCTGTGGGAGCCTGGTCATCGCCACCTGTGTGTCCTGCGGGCTCTTCCCCTGCTCAGGTCCCGAGGCCTCCCCCTCCGCGTCCCCTTGTGTGGTCCGCAGTGCCTCCCACACCCTCTCCTTCCACGCGGGCGCGGCCGGTTTTGTTCTGGATGGTGTCGGGCCGTCGGGGGGCTTTCCTGTGTGTAGCCCCTCTTCCTCACCCTCATGCCAGCCCCTCTGCAGCGGCTCCTGGGCCCCACTGTCCGTAGATTGAGGCCTGAACATGGAGGGAAAACGGGTAACAAACAGAACAGGGCTGAACACATTTTACTGTGAAACATCATCCACCCCCTTCCTCTTCTTTTGCGATTTTTTTTTCTAAATTTTTGGTCCGTCCTATTTTACGGAGCGGGGAGCTTTCTCGGTGTACGTATTTATTAACAGCGGCTGCCAGGAGCTTTTCCCATGGATCCGATTCAGCCCGTGTGTGTGCTGTCCTCCCAGTGCGTGACCCACTGAGGGAATGACTGGCTTCTCTGCTCTCAGTCCCTCTCCGTGACTTCGGGCAAGGGGAGTTGGCCGTCCCCACAGCCCTGCCACGCCCCCTAGTGCTGACCGTGACTCTCTTCCCCCCGGCAGAGGAGAACGAGGAGCGCACAATGATTGACCCCACCTCCAAGGATGACCCCAAATTCAAGGAGCTGGTCAAGGTAAGGAGCACCTCGGTCAGCACCTTCCTTCTGGGCTGTGGTGGGTGGACTGCTAGGCCAGGTAGGGGGGTAGAGGGCGAGGGGCGGGCCCTGGAGCTGGTCCCCCCGGGTCAGGGAAGCCACGACGGGAGGGCTGGGGTCCCATGGCTAATTCAGAGTGTCAACAGCGGCTTCCGTCTCCTTAACCTGGTTTCTGAGCCCTGGCTCAGCGGTGAGGCTTTATTTGTGGTGTCTGTGCATCTTTGAGTGCTGATTGCAGTTTTGATTGTTCTGATCTAAACCACAATGGGGCTTCAAGAGTTAACTGCCCCCCCCCCCCTCATGGACGAGCAAAGCCTCTGGTGCTGACAGCCTCCTCGCCCCCTGTGGGAGCTGCCCCGTGAGACCCAGCTCCCCGCCAGAGCAGGTGGCCATGGAAAAGCTTTCACTTCAGCAGCCCGAGGCAGACACAGGTCACCCCCAGGCTTTGAGGACGCTGTCTGTGACAGTCCATGCCACAGACACAGACTATTAGAAGTGCTCTTCAAAACATTTCTCCACCCGACGTGGCGCAGAACCGCGTTCTCATGGGGGCTGGCGCAGGATCAGGAATGCTTTCGCCAAATTGTCTCCTGGTAAAAATTGACCTTGAAAAGGCCTGTGTTAGGGTCCACCCGAAAACCTTGATTCCTAACAACTGACATTACCTGGTCTACTTTATTAAGAACTTTTTTCCCTCGAATATTCACTCTGTTACTCTGAACACAAGAATGTTGGTGAGGAAAGTGACCCTGTTTTGAGCCACCAAAAGACTGTTATGGGGGATGTTTCCGTAGTAGGTTTGCACTGTATCAGTTGGGCTTCTCCAGAGAAACAGAACCAACAGAGTGGACCCATCTATCCGTCTGTCTACATCTAGTTATAATAATTATTATGACAGATGGGCTTACGTGATTGGAGCCCCACGATCTGCTGTCCACAGCCAGACACCCAGCACAGCGGGTGCCGTGGTTCCAAGGCGGGCGGGCCAGGAGGGCCGAGGACAGGGTTGACGTGCAGCTCAGCCGGCAGGCCCAGGAGGGTGAATCCCACCTTCCTCCACGTTTTTGGGCTATTGGGGTCCTCAGTGGATTGCATGAGGCCCGCCCGTGTCATCCATGTCGGGAGAGGCTCCTCTGCTTTGCTCAGTCTGCCAATTCAAATGCACATCTCTTCCGGAAACATCCTCGCAGACCTAGCCAGAAGGAATGTTGAATCCGGTGTCCAGGCCTTCCGTGGCCCAGCCCAGCTGACAGGATTCACTGCCACACACCACCTTTTGGCTTTCTCCTTCTTCAGCGTTTGAGCAAAGCCAGAGAGTTTACAAGCATCGCCTCCCTGAAACACCCCCAGGAGAGCTGGTGCTGTCCTCACGTTCACATGAGGACAGAGGGGAGAGGCATCCCACCCCCCACTGCCCGGTTACACCTGTTAGCGGTGTGTGCGGGCCTGAATGGGTCTAGTCAGTGGCACCTTGTTCGCTGAGCCCGGGCTGAACGTTTTGTGCCGTGCATGGCCCTGAGCGTAGTGAGATGAGCAGATCGCCTTCCTTCTGGTGGGGGCTGCTTCATGCTCCTCTCAGATTCACCTGGCCCCACATCCTCCGTTGTACCGCCGTGACTCCCAAGCCCGCAGGCTGTTTCGGACCCCATGGGATGAGGGCTGGTCAGCTGCTTGTCCTTCATCAGCCCATGTGGAGGGGTCCGCAGCGTCTCCGCATCCGGGGCCAGCCCAATGGGACCTGTGTGGGCTCGGCTTCTCCAGCTCTTCTGGATTCTGGATTCGGCTGAAGGGCCATGCTGCAGGGAAGGGGGTGGGCTGATTAGAGGGGCTGGCAGCACGGGCAAGGCCATGCCCCATCAGACAAAGCAGGACCAGAAGGCACCAGAGAGTGAAAGCCTCTCCGTTACTTCCCCGCTGGGTGGTTGGGAGGGCCACGGCTCCACAGGTGGGAGGCTGCATGGCTGAGCACTGACGGGTTTTCTTCCGAAGCTGTGGTCAGCTCAGGGGTGCACCTGCCTCACCTCCTTTCCTGCTCACTCTTGCCAGCCTGGGATTGCCCCCACCCCAGCAAGGGAGCAGCAGTGAGCTTGGCCCTGGGCTCTCTTTCTGGGAACTCAGGGGTGGTGGGCTGAGTCATGGCCCCCCAAGGTGTCCATGGGAATATTACCTCCTTATGTGGCAAAAGGGACTCTGTGGACATAACACAGGGCTCTTCGTTTGGGAGATGATCCTGGGTCACCCCAGGTGGGCCCAGTGCCGGCACAAGAATCCTTAGAAGGGGAGGGGCAAGAGGGATTTGCCCCCGCATGAAGGTGCAGCATGAGGACAGAAGCAGGCGCTACACCGCGGGCTTGGAAGGTGCTGGAAGGGCCCAGGTACCAAAGATGCAGGTGTCGTCTGGAAACTGGAAGAGGCAAGGAAACGGATTGTCCACCAGAGCCTCCAGAAGGAGCCAGCCCTCCCAACACTGTGACCGTAGGGCGGGGCAGCTGATTTTGGACTTCTGGCCTCCAGGGCTGTAAGACGATACATTGGTGCTGTGTGGGCCACCAAATCTGTGGTCCTTTGTTAGAGCAGCCGTAGGAAACTAAGACACCAGGCTAGGTCACCTTCCCTCCCAAACTGCTACCCCCCCCACCCCCCAGCTCCTGGCTCTAATGGCCACCTGGGCTGCGCCAGGGGGGCCTTGTAACTTCACCAGGTTCCTGGAAGGGCCAGCTGCGAGACACTGAGCTGTCTGCTCCTCTGGCCGTCCCGCCAGCCTGGAGTACCTGTGCCAGGAGATGGGCAATTTCTGGAAGGTTCTACCTGCTCTCAGACTGCAGGCAGCATCTTGAGGCAGGCTGGTGGCCTGTTTTTCTCTTTATCAAGGGTTTTCCAAAGCAAGCGGGTTGGCTGGCTGTGGATTGTTAGTCGCTGCGGTGGCAGTGTGGAGGAGTGTGCGGGAAATATTAGTTATCACCAACTAGAGCCTTTTTCAACAGAGACTCGGGCGGGCGGTGGCTCGGGGGATACATGGCTGAGCTCGGCTGCCCTTGGTTCACTCGTGTTTGCCGGGCATGTGGGGCCTGGGTGTACCCCTGAGTTGGGGTCTGCTGCCATCAGCAGCAGCTTCTCCTCGCTGGGGGAGTAGCTGGTCCCAAGGCCACTGTGGCCTGTCCCCGGGCGTGCGGTGGCGGGGAGGGCAGCCCAGCTCACGTCACTTCCTGCCTCCCCTTTTGGCTTGCCACTGAGCCTGTGCCCACCCAGGTGTGTGATACAAGAGGCCGGCCCCCAAGCCCACCCTCACTTCTGACACTAATTACAAGTTTGGGGTCCCCAAGACGACCTGTAGGTTTGACACTAGAAAGACTCGCAGGACTCACCGAATGCTGCCATACTCGCTGTTACGGTTCATCATGGTGAAAGGACACAGGTGCAAATCAGCCAGGGGAGGAGGCACCTAGGGCAGGCCCGGGAGGGCACCGAACGTGGCGTTTCCAAATGTCTCCTCGTGGCATCGTGGACACCGTCACTTACTGGCAATGAGAAGACAGCATTCTCTGAGCATCGCTAGCCAGGGAAGGTCCCCAAGCCTCGTGGTCCAGAGTGTTTATTGGGGTGCCCTCCTAGAGGCGTGTCTGACTGCCCTGGGGACCAACCTGTCTCCAGCCTTACCCCGTGATGAAGAGAGTGTGGCCCAAAGCCCCCACCCTAAGCCATGTTGGTCCTTTTTGGCCAGCCCAAGGCTCCCATGTAAACCATCTGGCAGGACACTCCAGCAGCCTAGAGATCACCTCCCAGAGGCTAAGGCACACACCCCCTGCGCTCTGGGCAAGGTTACAGTCTGCACCTGGCCTGTGCACTTGCAGCCCCTGGCACGGAGAACTCTTTGCCACCTGTCCATTCTCTCCCGATATCCGCTCCTCAGAGACACGTTCTCCAGCCCCCTCCCCTCCTCCCCTGTGCTCCACACCCCACTTCCTTGCCCTCGCTGGCTCTCTCCGCCCAACTCCAGGCATCGCTGGCCTGGAGCGGTGCACTTCTCGTCTCCTCCCTCTCGAATGGAAGCCCGTGCAGCCAGTGTCAGATTTTGCTCCCAGCTGAATCCCCAGTGCTGGGAGGTGTGCCCGCACACAGTGGTGCTGATTCCCACTGGCAGGATGAGTAGTGAGTGCATGAGGTTGTGTGTCAGAACCACCTGCAAGGGTGTGCGCCTCAGGGACCAGGCGGGTCTTTTTGCCCCATCACCAGACCAACGGAGTTGGAATCTTGGGAAAGGGGCCCTGGGATCATGGGGCGAGGGTTGGGGGCCCTTGTGAATTGGATGCTGATGCAGGTGGTCCCAGGAGCCCCGCCTTGGGAACCGGGGGGGTATGGACGGCTAGTCTTGGTGGTTCCAACAAAACCACTCCATGTGCTTGACCTGCGTGATTCTTACTGCTTTTCAGACCCGCTTTCTGCACCGCGGACTCTCCTTGTCCACGCTGCTGGTTGGTTACGTCCGAGGAGGGCTGCCGGTGGTTCTTGGCAGGGATTCTGCTCAGAAAGGGTGTTTTCGGTGGGGAGCATGGGCCACACGCCAGCCTGAGCAGGTCAGGGGTGAGGTCAGCTGACATTGGCCACGTCCCGGTCTGGGCACCCGAGGGACATCTCTGAGGCAGCACGGTCAGTCCCCTTGTTTTCTTGCTCTGTTCTCAGTCAGCTGCTCTTTTTCATCTCTTGTCTTGGCCCCTGCCCTGTCTCCCTCTGTAGACTTAGCCCTGCTGACCCTGCTGCCATGGGACTGTCACCGTTGAAAATATTGTGAGCTGCCCTCTGTTTCCTATAAAACAGAACCCTGGCTCCAGCTACGCCAGGCAGTATGAATATAAGGCCGTTCATTCAGAAATTCTCTTGGAGCATCTGTTGAGCCTACTGTGGCGTTTAGGGGTGAAGGGGTGAGGTGTGCTTGGAGTCTGGCTTCCTCGATTCAAATCCGGGCCCAGACAAAAGTGGGG